GGATTTATTATAATATCGGTGATACAGTAGCTGGTTATTACCTCTTAGGGGACTCTGCTTACCCCCTGCAGAACTGGCACCTAAAACCTTTTCAGGACATCGGGTGACAGACTAACAGCAAGTATTTAATAGAAAATTCAGCACGGCGCAAGTGGTTGTTGAAAATGCTTTTGGCAGTGTTAAAGGAATGACTCGGACACAGAACATGTAAAGTCAATGGTGCTGACCTGCTCTGCACAATCTGTGAGAACCACGGAGAGACCTGTGACACACCTGTAGCAACAGCAGCTGTGTAGCAGTGGTGCAGAGGAGGGTCTGATGCGTCACTTTGTCATATGCCTAAACATTTATTTTGCCCTTGTTTTGACCAAATTATAAAACTTTTGTATTTAGCTAATGTCTCCGTCCTTGTTCATACATTTAGCACGGTTATACGGATTTACTGACAAATATAATTTATGTAATGTAAATAGAAGTAAAACTATATGGTAGGAAATCGTAACTTTTGAACCCCTTTTCTGCACGTGTATAGACAAATGAATGAAACAAAGTCCTGATACTATCACAGATTTATTAAAAACAAAAGTAACTAACTAACTAAGTCCACTTGGTCTGCCACCATGAGCCTAACTAAAACTGTGCATGTGGTCTTCCAATCCCTCACAATATTCCTCACAGTTAAACTGAAATCTTAAATCTCTGTAATAGATTTTTAAAGCCTTCCCCGAAGCCATGATGTTGAACAATCTTTGTTTTTAGGTCATTTGAGAGTTGTTTTGAGGCTCCCTTTTGAGTTCCAATGATTATTGCTAAATGTATGCTCATGCCTAATTAAATCATTCTTGCACACTTTCTGTAAAAAATACAAACTTTATTTCATTAATGTCACTGTGATTGTATCTCATATTTAACTAACATTTCTTATCAAAATATCCAATGATTTATTTTAAAAAATCACGTTATTTCCATATATTTCAGTATTTTATTGTTTATTATTTCAAGTTATATAGAAAAAATAATAGTAATTGTTCTTTGTTGTTGTATTAGTTTTGCAATATTTCCATTATGTCCTGTTCTCATCAGCTCCACAAATGAGGTGAAGAACTTGCTGCAGTCCATGCCCAGGACCAGTGAGCCCCGGGAGATGCTGTTTGAGGACCGGACCAGAGCCCATGCAGATCACATTGGCCAGGGCTTCGAACGCACAACCACAGCAGCTGTGGGGGTTCTGAAGGCCGTGCGCTGTGGGGACAGGTGAAGCCCACACGACAATTTTACCAGTTTGCTTTCTGATCCTTAGTGTGCTCGCAATATTACTTCAATATTGGCACAAGATGCAATGAGGCTGTTAAGCGGCGAGGTAAGATTTTGCACTTCTGGGTTCAGACTAAAGCCATTATTAAACAAAAGGACAGACCTTCTTGTCATTTTAACAACCGCTTCTGCGACACTTCTGTCATGTCCTCCCTTTGGTTGTTTTTAACTTCATTTTTGCATTATTAACCAAAACTGTGGCATACCAAGCCACCTCTTTAACTCTTGATTATAAAAAAATCAGAAGTTTGAATATTTTAATTGTTGAAACTATTAATAAACAAAATGATTGATGGTTTAGTTGTTAAGTTTCTGCTGTTTGAACCCAGAATTGAAAAATGCCCGGTCTCTGGGAAAAACAAATATTTGTCCACTCAAGCACAACCACCATGACTACGTGTGTCTGAAACACTTCTCAGCCCCAGCCTCTGCTGTACCACAAGACAAAAAGTGCATATTCTCAGATTGTAACAATCAGTAATGTTTCCAAGAAGGAGAAATGTTTTTGTCAGATGCTGTAGATGAAATGAGCACAGGCCCAATGCATTCGGCTATGAACACACTATGAGGTAGCCTGAGATGCCCCAACCATACAATTTTAAAAATTTTATTTCAAAAACCTGATGGACTTGTTCTAATTTTCTCTCCCGTGCTCTGTATTTATGAACCATGTTGAAACACTTTTGATTGTACAGGTATAGAGTCAGGAAACGTAAAGCATATACAAAGAATACCAAAATAATGTTACAGCTTATGTCAAAAACAGAAGTGGTCACATTTGTTTGCTTGTTTCTCACAAGTGAGTTATGTTCGTTTACTATAATCTGTATTTAAAACAATTGAGAAACATACAGCGGTTACCATCTTGGATCTGAACCAGAATACCTTGAAAAGTTACCTTTTATGAGATGGGGCAGCCCTAGGTTTGGTCAAGTGGCATTTTACACTGTTGCCACAGAGAAGAAAGATAAATATGGGGAAAAGTAGTAATTCATCAGCATTAAGAGAATACATTTTTCCATGTTCTTTGTTTTTAGCTCGGAGCCTTCTCGTGTGACCAAAGATGCCATTTGTTTCCACGCAGCCGACTTCCCCTACGTGGTACAGAGGCTGCAGCTGGACCTGTACGAGCCACCTCTCTCCCAGGTACCTCAACCCTACTTTTGCACTACCTACTTTAGTAGACATTTTTAGGTTCACACATGCGCTACTGGGGCTTTTGCAGAGCAGTTCACGGCACATAAGGTGTCTGTGTGGATGTGATCACTCACCGGTAACTCTCTTCATTTGTCTGTGTGAGCATTTCAAGTGATACATTTCAATACAGCTACTTCAGGCCATTAGGAGGCGGCTCTCAGCCACATATATCAGATACATCCTGCAACCCTCCCTGGAGAGGTGTGTCCCAGGAGACACCCAGGACATATGTATATGCCCTGAACGCCTCAGAATTCCCCTGTATGAGATGGAGTGTGTGTGGAGCCGAAGGAGGAAAATGTCCGAATGACTTACCACCTCCATAAGTCCTGGAGACGCAACTTGTTCTTCGAAAACCACAACCACTGCATCTCGTCTGCCACCTACTTCTCAGTCTTTACTCAGTTCATATTCCCAACCGCTGAAAGACACAAGGACTTTCCCAGAGATCCTGCGCATTTCACACGAGAGGAGAAAACTGGCGGAAAGGTTTTGGATTTGGAAGGAAAGATAATTTACTTGGACTCAGTAGGTCTAAACAGAAAACTACAAGATGCACTCAATTATTAAAAGTTGCACTTCGAACTTTTTAACAAGAAATGTTGTTTTATAAAATGTATTGTTAACATATTCTAATTGCAATTGTGAATAACTGAATGCATCATGTGTGCAGGCTTACACTACACTGTAGGGACTAGACAGAACCAGAATTTGAGGTTTGTTTGATCACCAACATTGACTTACTTGCTGGACTATTTTATGGTGCTGGTATAGTGCTAATGAAGTGAAGCAATGAAGTGAAGGTTATTGAGGTAACTATAGGAGCTCCCTTCTTCGTTTGTTGTATGTTCGCTTCTGCCACCTACTGGAGTAGTGATGAACATTTATTTTAGGACATTTTAAAGGTAGCATGCACTGCAAATAAAGAAGGACTGGAAACAGACTTACCTGGACTTGATTTTTCCTATACAATTTGTTTTTGTTTATAGTTCAAGGTTACATTTATTTGACATTGTGGAGTATAGGCACCTTTTTAAAGACAGCATGACAATTCTTTCTGCTACATACTGGTCGTCTAGTATGACACTATCTATGGCTCATTATCATCTTTTTACATGTCATATATTAACATTCAGCTAAAAGAATGTTCAAAAATCCACAAATCATAAAACAGTCAAAATTTTTAAAATGGCTTCATTCTAGGTTTAGTATGTAAATTCTCTTATTGTGTCCTTGCAGTGTGTTCAGTGGGTGGACGATGCCAAACTCAACCAGCTGCGTCGCGAGGGTATCCGTTACGCCCGAGTCCGTCTCTGCCACGACGACATTTACTTCATCCCCCGAAATGTAGTCCATCAGTTCAAGACTGTGTCGGCGGTGTGCAGCCTAGCGTGGCACGTCCGCTTACGCCAATACCACCCAGAGCAGAAACGAGAAGAGTCCAACAGCAGCGATGAGAGTGAAACAGAGGAGGAAGAGGAGGAGCAGGTGAAGGTCGAGGAGATCCCTGTGAAGATCAAGGAAGGCAAACAGCACGTAGAGAAGGAAAGGAAGCTTGTCAAAGAGCGATTCAAGAGGGAAAATACAGAAGAGGAAGGACAGAGGACTTTGCCGAGCGTTAAGTTTAAAAAAGAGGAGACTTTTCCTCCAAAAGGTTTAATTGCTGAATCAATAGAATCAAGCAAAACTAAAGAGGAAAAAGAAAGGACTAAAAATAAGGAATTGTTGAAAATCAAGCGGGATTCGCCAACAGTTGTGAAGGTGAAGTCAGACCAAGTTTTAGCCTCTAAGTCGATCACGGCTTTGCCCCATTCCCCTCGGTCTAAACCTCTGTCAATAAAGCACTCTGAATCCAAAAGCGCGTCTTCCAAAACATTGTCGCACGAGGAAAATGGTGCAAAAACACAGATCTCTTCTCCAATCTCTCTGCCGTCCGTAAAGTCTTCCACGTTGCAATTACCGTCTACTCCCATCAAGCCGTCTGTGGTTTCATGTCCTACCACCTCCATAAGTCCTGGAGACGCAACTTGTTCTTCGAAAACCACAACCACTGCATCTCGTCTGCCACCTACCTCTCCGTCTTTACTCAGTTCGTCTTCCCAACCGCTGAAAGACACAAGAACGTTCCCAGAGACAAGGATCCCACGCATTTCACACGAGAGGAGCAAACCGGCGGACGAGAACCTTCCACAGAGACACAAGCCGAGCGTAGCAGACAGCCGTGCCCTTGCGCTGCCAGAGGTGCGGACTCTCTCGGATAAGTGGTCAATGCGGGCAGAGCGGCAAACAACCGCCCCTCCGGACCCCTCGCGACCGGGTTTATATCTGCAGCAATATGCGCCTCAGAACATCCACAACAGCAGCAATCACCACCACCATCATCTCTCGCCCCCTCCGCCTCTGCCGCCTCCCCCTCTCCCACCTCCTCCCCCACCCATGATGCCTCCCTCATACCCGCCCCTCATGCCCCCGTACCCGCCCCCGTCTGCAGCCCCTCCCGGGCTCAGCCACTACCAAAGCCACCCATATCAGAACTCTGCGTACTATCCACCGTTGATGCCTCCCCTGGCTGCTCCCCCGCCGCCTCTACCCCCTCCCCACACCTACCCCCCTCCGCCCCCGCCCTTCAGCTCGCACCACCACCATGCGTTTTTACCGCCGCCGCACCACCATCACCACCACCACCACCAAGCTTTTCTGTCGCCCCAGGGTGCCTTCTCCACGCCGCCTCCGTATCACCAGCCGTACCCCGCCCCCTCCTCCCCCCTCCACGTCCCCGCCTCCCCCACCCCCCTTGCCCCCCTCGGCGTACCCGCCATTGCCGCCCCTGCATGAAGACTAGTTTTGTACATAGGGAGTGTGTATAGGCTACGACAGAGAACTATGAATGCGAGTGTGGTGTGGTCTGGGTTATCGCCATGGAGACTCAACAGTTTCGCTTGTAATGTGCCATAGAAGCCATTTTGCACGAATTAGTCTGGAGTTAGCCTGTTTAATCCCCCTCTGGCTGAGTGGCTCTAACGGGCAATAAACGTTACATTATACTTATTAGAAAAAAGACAAATCAAAGCCCTAAAGTTATATATGTAGTAATTTAACTTCAAAACACATTATCATCTTTCATTTTTTATCTCTCCAGACACAAGATTAACAAGATAAATTATATTTGGCCTTTTCTGATCAAAGTTTAAATGTAAATTTATTCTTCATAAAAAATACAATGGACATTAATTTTGTTGACATGAGGGTTTTAAGCTGAGTATCAAGTGAGAAATCTTTTGGGGACCAGCAGTATGTCTTCTGTTTTCAGGTAGATAGATTAGGTAACAAATAGATTGGTAACTCATGTTGTAGTTGCCTTTTTAGTACCATTAATGACACATTGGGCTGTTGAACATTTTGGGATTTGGGAACAAACTATATACAGCTATTTTCACAGTTTCAACTATTTGTATAGTCGTTAATATACTGGATACAACAGTTGTTTTAAAAAATGTATTCATTTATATTGACAGTAAAGGTACCACGAATACCCCCTCACACACTGCTGTTCACACAAGTGCACACGGAAACTTTAGAGGGAGGGGGTGACATTAATGGAAGCATCCATTTATTTTGAGATGGATGATAAAATACACAACATAATAATTTTACTTGCTTGGCCTCTCAGTTATCATGGCCTTGTTGCAATTGTATGCAAGCAGTTTTCAAGAATTAGCAATGTCTGGAGATAATGAGCATCAAATTGACATATTGATGAATACATTTTCCCTAAACAGCATTGAAAATTCTTCAAACAGACACTGGAGAGGTCTGTTTGATAGAAAACTGCTCGGGCTCTCTTTACCATTCACTAGTCAGACTCATGTTGCTTTGTCATTGCAACCCAAGAGGACTCTTTATTAGATAGGAATTCATTCTAAATAAATGAGGACTCCTTCTTGGCTTTGGTATGTGTGAAAAGTCCTATGGTATTTGACAGGTGTATTTCAAGAAGATCTTTGCAGCGACAACACATTAATGCATGTTATACAAGTTTAATGCCATACAATGGACAATTCCAGGCAAAACAAAAACTAAACCAAGTGTGCATTTGAAGAAGCCACAATATGTGTCAAGGAACATTTTCCACTGTTTTGAGAGAAGTGTTCCATTGTAACATTTGGTTGGCATGGTTTTATAGCAGTTGGCGGCTGCCTCACATTAGGTAGGTCCAGGTTTGGAGTCTTTGAGTGAGGGGTTTGCATGTTCTTCCCATGTCGAGGGCTCCAATATAATACTGCATCTCATTATTAAATTACATACCATTACTAAACTATATATTGCAAAATCTCTTACATTTTTATTAATCTACAAGAAACGTTGGTTATCACTACATTCAAAGTATTGTCTAACTGTACAATAGAAAATGCTCTTTGGCTTTTCCAAGAAATGTTTCCAAACAACAATTTATATGATGTGTTCGAGGTGTGGAAGCTTGTTTCCATTCTTCAAATCTTCCAATTTGTCATAAAAATGTCAGCTCTAGGTTTTTGAGGCTGGTGGAATTCAAATGTCTATTGATGGTGGCATCTTGATAGGTTTAAAACCAGGTTTGCTTTTCACATCGGAGAATTCTCCATTATTGCACCGGTTTCTGGACTGAACTGACAATATTTTAGGAGAGTTCATCCATCTTGGTTATTTGGTTCTTCTATCCCAGACAATTGTAAGATAACAATGTTTTTACCGGTATACTTTCGGAAGCTTCTGACAATCTTACAAATGTCTGGTATAGAACCAAAAAACTTGAACGTCAATGAACAGATAATGTTTGGAAACTCAAACTGAACTTAAAAAGAGGGGAATACAAACATCTTAAACATACATTATACAATACACATGAAACTATAAGCTCTTGACTTGAAATAGGGAATCTAATATAATTTAATAATAAAATGTATTTATTTTTTAATTAATATGTAACAGTTTATGCCAAAAAGAACAGTGGTGGGGATGTTTTAATATTTTAAACACACAAACTATTATATATTTTCACAGTGACTTCCAGTAACTAAGTATTTATTCTTAATAAATGTGTATTTCAATTCTGCAAACCTCCCATCGAGCAGTGCCCAGAGGCCATGGTTGAATGTCCACATTATTCCCTCTTGTCGGAACCACCATCTGGCCAAAAGTAAAGATTACACACAATTTCTCACAACTTGAAAACAAGTGTCTAGAACTGGTCACTAGCCAGGACACTATAGACCTTTGCAGAAGAGCCCCAGGGCTCGACACAACTGAAGTAAATCAGGCTGTCATGGTGGACAAACATGACTGAATGAAAGCTAAAAGAAGAGCTGTTTTAACTGGACACAACACGACTGAATGAAAATGAAACTATCATTTTTGAGCATTGTTGATCCAAAGTTATGAACAAAACATTTGCGAGTGTGATTAGTGCAAGAGTATTAAGTGAACGAGGGATTATGGAATAGAGTGGATATCATCGGCCTATATGATATCCATCAAGTTCCAAACATATTAAATACAATTAACTTTTTTCTGGATGCCCTACCCCGATCTAGGTGGGGTTAGGTATTATATGAATGTCAAAAGTTTGTTTTCAAAAACTTTAAATCAACCTGGCAACGTTTCAGGTTCTTCCATACATAAAGAAAATCAGTCTTTTTAACAATGGCACATTTTTTGTAGTGAGTTCTAAACATTACTATATATAATCCAAAGAAGATTGTACACTAAAAATTCCCCATAGCACTGAGATGAATAAAATTACTAAAATAATATTATGGGTTTAATAACTGCCAACAGATTGGTTACAGGCAACTAAGGTAACATTACTGTACGTTTTTTCAAAGGTAAAGTAAAGACTGCCTATAATTTATTATTACTATCAACAACTATCAAGGCTTAGTTGTAAAAAGTGGAATGAAACGACACCTATGAATATTATAACCCGTTAATATGGAGCGGGAACGGTTCTGCTGTTGTGTTGAGAGTGGTTAGTATTAGCATTGCCTGTTTACTTGTACAGACCACAAGCTATTGTAGCCCCACGTTTCCCCAGTGCCTGTGGATGACTCTGGTCGATCTAAACTCACTAACAATTCAATACAATAAGCCTTATATTAGTCTGTTACATTGCTTTACAGATTGTGCAGTTGTATCCCAGTGCTGTGCAAAAGTTAGCTGGAATAATATAATCTCATGTTATTACAATCCCAATCATCATTCTCGTAAAAGTTTGGGGAAGAAATGAGAAAACACTGAATTAGCTTAAATGTTATCATGTGTTATATATATTTTTCCATCACTTATCAAATAGCTGATTAGCCCCAAATTATAGTTAGTTAATTATAGCTTATTAATGTTTATTCTTTGCTGCGGGCCTGATTTTTTTTTCCCCCAGGCCACAAATTTAAGTTATGACCTCGCAATACTTTCCTGATCATGTATTTTAGTAGAATATGAATAGATGATGGCACCCAACTTTTGCACAGCACTTCTTCTCAAACTAAACTCCAAACCTTCATAACGATCACTTGCTATTGGCCTGAAAATGTAAATTTATTTTTGAAGACATTGTAACTTCATTTCAAACTACATGGCAGAAACAGGAAATGATCTTATTTTTGTACAAATTTGACAAATTATGGTTGGAAATAATAACATAAATATAATGTCTTGTTTTGACAGAGTTTATTTATATCGAAGTTGACGTTGTTTTTATTGTGAATTTTGACTATTAGAATTATAATGTACATAAAAGTTTTGTAAAGAGAAAAACTTGTAGTGTGGTTTCTACTTTGAATATGAGCCTCGATAATAAAAAGGTTCCATCATGTGTATAAACACGTCTCCTGGTGCTTGATGTTTTTTGTCTGAAAGCTGTTTTCTTATAGGTTGGATGTATTACTGGCTGCTGCAGATAAAAATAAATAGGGTCTTACGCTGCAACATATCCAGAAAATATTACAATAGTTTAGATAGATGATAGCACTAAACCCCTAACATGATTGTGCTATCCTCAGGTCAAATTGACCCGCTACCCAAACAAATGTGTTTTTGAGCTGGGTTTTGATGATTTTTTCCTATCTTGACCAGCCCTGTATCATTTCGACTCTAATTTGGGGTATTTTCTTCCACTTTTAATCACGGTGGCAGGTTATTTGGACCCAAGGATAGCACAAGGATTAAGACTTGATTCTAAGCCTTTTGAGACTATGCAGACACTCAGACTTCCTCCAGCTCATCCAGGAGAATCCATAGGTGTTTCTTGGTGGATGGAAAGACCCAGTCCTCAAGACCCAGGAAACACTGGAGGTTTGTATTATAGATCCATGGTCTTCCCCCCACTCCAAGGTGACCACCAACTCAACTGGTTTATCATATGTTGAGCTTTCCCCCCCATAAGGAAGCGCCCAGCAGAGCATACTCATTTGGAATGCTTGTATCTGCGATCAAATTCCAGAGCTTTGACTGCAGACGTTGCTCCCTCTTCACCACAGCAGTCTGATACAGCGGCCGTAGACTCTCATGCTCCATCCTTCCCTCACTCGTGAACAAGACATGACAGACCAGAATACACAGGTACACAATATACAGGAGGTGGAGCACCATGGCCTTGGATTTGGGAAGGGCAAATGTTCATACCAGCCGCTTCATACTTGGCTCAAACTGCAACAGTGCATATTGAGGTGACAATTACAGGTGATATTTGAGTATTTTTGCTCATTAAGTCTGGCTTAATTAAATCCATAGTGAGGTAAATATACGTAAAATTGTTTATTTTTACATACATTTCAATATGTGTCTGAATCTAAAACTGCACAACATAGTATTTGCAGATTTTTCCAGACAACTGTGTGGATAAAAAAAAGTATTTTTCGAACATTGGCAAACACTATCAGTACATTGTTTTCTAAGTAATCACTTTGAAGACGTAACACTGTTCGGTTTAAGTACATCTTGGCATAATTGACAACATAGTCCTCCAGTTGACATTAGGAGGGACAGACTGAACAAACAAATATTGAATGAAAATTTTACAATCAATGCTTCTGATTTAGATGCATATTTACAAAAGCAGATTTAAGCAGCACATAGACAAAAACAAAGTGCATTGGTCCATTTGAGAATGAAAGCAGCTGAGGTTATTCCAGTGTACATTTGTCAGTAGTACAATAATTTTTAGTCCTACTTACAGGAGAGATGTGTATGAGTTGATTAGTTTATAAAGTTTCAGACATGCTACTAAGTGGAATCTTACACCAAAATGTTATTTGTACCATACAAATTTATATTCACATATAGATTTTTAAATGGGAAATAGATAGGGAATGTACCTACTGAAGTACAGCAATCCAGCAAAAGTGAAAAATAATTTGTAACCAATGTGGCAATTTCCAAATAGTAAAAGACATTTCTCCTTTTTTTTGGCTTTTCTCATGCACAAAACTGGCAAGAAATGGCAAAAGTAAAATGAATACCATGATTCAGGTAATCTTAATTAATCCGTACATTATTTTTTTTTTTATAGCCCAGGAACACGGACACCATTCTTCAGTTATTTTTTGTCTTAAACCATGAAGATACCAACATATCTGTGTGAGTCAGCGCACTGGCACTTAAGCTCCACAGTAAGCTCCACAGTAAGCTCCACTCCTTCTACAGTCTATGTGGTAGGTACATAAATAAATAGTACTGCATCCATTGAATATTTTAGTCGGGGACGTACAGGTCAAAGCAGACACCTCCAGCAGAAACAGTGCTATATAATCTAGAATAGTTCTCCGGTTCCTTCGTTCTCTTTTACGCCTCTCTCCTGTCCGGGAAGATGTTGAGTCCAAGCTGCACAAGTGCGCCCAGTAGCACAGCCCACAGCGGGATGCAGACGAAACTGAGCTGGAGGTGGAAGAGGCGCTCCAGCTTGGCGCACAATGTGAGGCAGAAGGCCAGCTTGAGCAGCATGGCGGTCAGGTACCAGGCATGCAGCCGCAGGTCAGGGGAGCCGTGGCGAGCCTCGTAGCCCGGCTTGCAGCGACCCGCCATCTTAATCGCCAGCATAAGCACAAGAATGCCGTCGAAGACCCAGGCGGGCAGGAAGATCAGGAACCAATTCCACTGCACCTGCATTCAACAATGTGAAAGTGAGACCTCTAACGGGACACATAATCTCTCCACAAAATCCATTTAACGCTTGGTAAAGTGTATAATGTACTGAACATAGATATTTGTAGATGAATATCAATGCATTTTAATTAGATTAGAATATCGAGTTTTTAAATCAAAGGGGCCATATGCAACATTCACTCTTAGTGGTTTAATGAAGTCATTATAATTACAATCACACTTTTGTTGATGGGCGCTGTGTGTACCACAGGCAGGAGGAGCATAAGTACTGCATCAACATGCAATCCACCAGCTAGGGTTTAACTAGAAACGGTATAAACTCTTTTTCACTCTTCAACTTTTTTTTTAAAACTACTTTTTCTTGTAGCTGGTTTCATACAAAATTAGCATGGGTGCACATAACTTTTTCAGTGAGGTACTCGGATGAGAACCAGGAGATGGTGTTTGGTACTCACTCCATTTGTTGCGTGGTTCTTAATCGAGATTTTATACTTGCTTCTTTTTAATTCTAAATCCAATCAATCCAGGTCAAATAATGACTCACAGGGCTCTTTCTTAAAAATGCAAAACAAAACAAAAATCAAAACAATGTTCTGTTTGATTTGTTCACAACATTTTACTTTTGGGCACGACCAACATGCATTTTTAATGCAGGGGAAGTGAGTTTTGGTTGCGCATAGGTAGGAGACACGGGGGAGACCTGCACTTGCAACAATCTGGGGATGGTCCTGAAAGCGTGTATCAATGGTTCTGTCTGCGCGTCTATGGTTCTGTCTGCGCGCTGAGCGGCCGCAGCTGGATGTGAATCGCGTTTGAGTACGTACAGCAAACAGCAGTAAGTGCCCCGCGATCACGGACACCCTCTCTGGCATTGCACCACACCCCCCTAGGGAGGAGCGCCCCACTATTTGAGAAGGACTGGTCTATGTGAAGTACGCAAAGGTGCTTACTAACTCAAGTCATAGTACGCATTTGTGATATTTGTTGCGAATGCGTACCTGCGTACTAATTATGTGCACCCCGTTTATTAGTGAATTTTGTAACAAATGAGAGCCTCATTCTCTGATAATCTGGAAAATTTGGTTGACCTTGGTCTCTAAAATGCGCTATATATGTAATCTACTTGAAAATCATAAACATAAATGCTATAGACATTGGGTCCATTGTATTTTAGTAGTAAGTAGTAGTAGTAAGTAATCTTTATTTATATACCGCCTTTTCACTGCACATTGGAGTCTCAAAGCGGTTTAAAATTGTTATTTTAAATGATTAACTGCACTTTAAACTGTTGTTCAGAAAAGGTCAAATATGATTTGTTATTGTCTATTTGGGACACACAATCTGTAAAATATTCTCTCTATGTAATATTATTTTTTTATTTGGATATTTTCTAATGAGTAATTGTATGCATATGAGTTTTTTATGATGACTTTATTAACAATAAATCTTCAATATATTAAACATTATATTGTATTGAAGTGAAAGGGTGTCCTGTGTCTAGATACATATTGTACAGTGTCATACGTATCGAGATCCGTATCGTATTGGGAGACTCTGAAAGATACCCAGTTTTCGTATGTTACCTATTCCTGATGATGTTGGTTTTGAAAAACATTGAGTTAATTAATAAATACAATACTTTCAATGATTACCGATGCAAATAGTCTGAATGAGAGCATGGTGCTTTTACCTTGCCGTCCAGTTTGAGCACCAGCATGATGAGAAAGACCAGGGTGAAGATCCAGGTGAGTAGGACCCTCTGAGCCAGGGACATGGCGACAGCAGGAGGTCCCAGTGGAGGTGACGCTGGGGATCAGGTTAACGGGCACATCAGCGGCACATCAGCACACACCTCACACCTGTTCTGATTCTGCTGATGATAAACAGTAACAATAGTAAGACAGGATTAATCAGTAGGATGCACTCAAAAGAAGATAAATACTTATGTCATTGGGTTGGCCATATCAATCTTGTAGTTTTTTTGTTAAGAAAATGTACTAAAAGTGCTTTGCAGTTCATAACAACATCAGTCATATATGCACACGCACACGCACACGCACACACACACACACACAAAAAAGACCCTTAGCAGACCACCACTTCCAGTGCATAGGGCTCCTCAAGAGGGAACAATGGAGACACTAAGCACAATTAGGGATAGAATGAGTGTGAATAAATGTGTGAAAATGTGCAACTTTAAAAATAAACATTTAATTTAATGAAAAATGTATAAATATATAAATATAATTAATATATAATATACAAGGGAATAATATAGTGATAAATACTAATCAAAAGCGCCTAAAAATAGTTCAGATATTGTAAATGATAACAGACATTTTTTCAATCATTGTTAGTGGTTGTTAAAAGCTATTTACTTTCAGATTCCATGCTGTCACTGACATTAAAGGCACCAAGTTTCTGTTCTCATTGTCATTATCAAATGGCTTCATACTGCCGCTAATAATGAGACCAAAAACGTGAGAAGTTTGTGCTCAGCAAGTGCGATTCTAGTGGTAATATGCAACACAATAGTTCCAATGTCTGTGAAAGAAATCATTGCAACTCAAAAATGAACTAATATTGATTCTATAACAAAGGAGTTGCTTTATTGTCTTTACTTTAATTAAGTCATTTGATACCCCAAAGTCACAAAGGAGGAGGAGCTTTGAGTGGAGCCGCCGATCCTCCATATCCAGAGGACTGTCTCTCAGCTGGCCTGGATGAGCAGTATATGGACAGCTGCCTCACCCGGTGACGGATCCAGTGAAAATGGACGGTATTATAGATCTATGGTCTATATTCAGTCACGTACAGTACAGTCTGGACTCTGGAGTAGTAATATATTGCGTGGGGACGTTTGAGGAACCACGAGTGTTCTACAGAACTAGCCACTGTTTTAATAACACTATGTTAAACAGATTTTATAATATTCTTTCAAATTGAATAGAAGGAAGAAAAGAAGAAAAGCAAACAAATTTTGAGCTCGAATAATAAGAATACTTGTCTTTCAATATCCCCATACAAAATGACAACTATATACTTTCCGTATGATGACAGCTAGCATTAGCATTAGCCGCTCGAGAAACAAGGGATTTTGACTTGTGTTGTATTTTGTTTACGAACCTGTTGTCTATCCCTGAGTGGTGTGTGTGGTTCGGTCTGGTCCATTACACGCTCATGTGCAGTGGTAGTTAGTGATTATTACGTGCCTGTCGTTTCTGTTGGAGCCATAATAAAGATGATGCTCCGTTGTGTGGAGACTGCAGAGGGACCAAATCCAGGTTGCCAGATCCCACATTGCACTATAAGTATTAGGGTGTTTCTATTGCAAGACTGTAGCGGAAGTATTACATTTGTGTGATATTATATTATATATTGCAATGAGCGAGCTCGCCTCTTTGCCGACATGACTTGTAAAGTGGCTTCGTGGTGTCTTTACCGTAAAGCCAAACTATAGGACGACAATCCAACAATCACCTTCGTCCTTCAGGTAGATGCAACGAGTGGTGGACCCATCATTTGAAACGTGTCATACACAACACAAACTAAGTTACGTTAGTATACATGAAGCGTAATCCTCTGCATGGAACATATAATACCAAATGTTCTATAAATGCCTTCTATTATCAACTCTGTGTGTTAGTAAATGCCTCTTATTTTGCCAAATGTAAAACTTTTACACGTCCTTGTTATTATTATGTCCAAGATAGAGATTTTACACTTTACATTTTACAGAAATGTTGTTTTATTTTAATTAGTATACCTAATTTTCACTTATCTTGTGCTGTGTGCTCCTTATTCCTACTGCCTTTATTCGTCACCGCTGTGGGACGAATATAGGATCTCTTAATTTTTTAATCTTAATCTTAAATATAAGCTACATACCTGGCAACTACTAGAATCCAGACCCGTTATGTGTCCCTGCCCATGGTCCCGCCTCTCCTCAGCGCTGATTGGCTCCTCAAAAGACTGGGGAGCGCGTTACCGTAAAGTCCAAAACACAGCACATAATTAATTTCAATCGCCGCTAGAGGAAGATATACGAGTACACCAAACTAAGGTGACCGTTAAGGCTTCAGTCGTATGTACACACGTCTATTTATTTTTGTAACAATATCAAAATGTAAACAAAAACACAAAAGTTCCTAAATTGTGGAATAAGCTCCCCATCAAAAGGGCAGGCTTAAAACATCCATCCATCAATCAATTTTCTGCCCCTTAATCCATTTCTGGGTAGGCAGGGGCTTCAGGCAAAGTGGGATTGTGTCTTGCCCAAGGACACAACGGCAGCAGTCATCAGTGTGAGTCGTGAAGTAGGTCTTGTGGTGAGCTCAAACCCACAATCTTTAGGCTCTAAGGCCAATGTTCTACCAACTGAGCCACTGTCGTCTCCAAGCTGTATAATGAGACACTTTGCTTCCACAACTATGCTAACTTAATCTGTCATCATTATAGTCTGTTCATTGGTCACTGTTCTGTTGTCAGTTTTACGGATCCTTCATCTGCACCTGCTGTGGACTGGGAGCATAGACGTCGGAACTAGGGGTGCGGGGGGTGCGGCCGCACCCCCTCCGCGTGTGCCGGGAGCGAGAAGTTATTACTATCCTGCGTTCCTTGCAGCCCAAAACCCGGTCCATGCTGTCGGAGAAGCTTATGAAGCTCTGTCTGGCTAATATCTGTCGCAGCCTCTGAGCGCTCTTTCTCAGCCTTGCGCAGATTAGAGACCTGGCTACACCAGTGACGTGCGGTGGGGGATCAATCATGTGTTCATATGATTATACATCATATAAACCAACAGGACCTACAGGAACAGGAGCGGCTTATACACAATTTGTTTGGCTACAGCAGAATATGATTTAATGTCTGCATTGTTTTCTCATACAAAACGCAAACGTTTGTAAAAAGTACAAAGTGTGTTATGGGCCTTACCTTAGGTATTAATGAACAGCACAGACCACTTCAGTTAGGACCAGTTTCATGTTTAAGTCCAGATAATAGTTTGAGCACAGACATGTAATCCTCCATTTGGAAATAAGTTCAATGAGTTTTAAAAAGTAAAAAAAAACGGGTGTCTCCTCCGTAAACTCCGAGTTTTGCTGCAGCCGACTCCCGGGTAAATCCAATTTCTAAATTCAACCTTACCCTTCACCTCCTTTTCTTATGATTCATATCATCATTGGAAGCAAAACATTACTCTAAGTGCATTTTAAATTATCTTAAAATGTATTATAGGTATGTTAGCCAAACCTGTAGCTGCCCTTAGCAGAAGAAGAACAAGAAAGGAGCTTTCTGATGGAATTGGATGCAGCCAAAGTTTGGGCTCACAAGCGCCCCCTTGAGGCTTTCCTCACTTACAAGCAGTGGTTGAGCGCGATTAAGACCCATATTTGCTTCAAAAACACAATTTATGAGCCATCCTCTTAAATGTAAACATGTTGATTGTAAATTAAATATTTTTGGACTTTTTAAACTGTGATAAACAGAGAAAACAGTTTGATAGCACCTCACAGGACTCTCCCTGTGAGCTGTTGCTTTTTACGTCTCCCAAGAGAGGCTCGCCTCACAGCACCGCTCTGTCAAATCTGCGATTTCAAGGTATAAATAAATGAAATAAGGCACAGCACAAATCACTTGATAAAGTGACCAAACATTATTGTATCCATTTTATTACTTTTCTTCCTATGATCTTAGGTGAGGGCCTTGCCTGCCTCATCTGACCGCACGTCACTGGGCTACACAACACAATGAAGCCACCGGAGAGACTGACGCATGAATGCGTATTGAAAAAAAAAAAAGTTCAGTTTGATAAGTGACTCGCTTGATATATATTGTTTATTTTGTTTTTCTTAACAATTAAGATGGTATGTTATTATCCAGTGTAATCCAAGTATGAGTCTCTCCCTCGACTCTCCCAACAAAAACCCGCCCCCCCTCTCAGAAAATAGTTCCGACGTCCATGACTGGGAGCCTCCTCGTTCTACAGTCTGAGTACTCAATCTGGATTCCCAGCAGATCCCTGCCTCATTGTGGCCTCTCTGAGGTTTATCACTGTGTCCCGCTGTATTTTTTTAGTTTTTTCTCGCTGATGCAGGACTATATACATGATGACAGAAATATCATTCACTAGTCACTAGTCACTTTACCTGTTGATATTATTACTGATGTTTATTATTATTATTATTATTAAACACTACTGAACCACGTGCAATTATAGCTCCAGAGTTTTTATTGAATTCTATTTTACCATCTTATCATCTTATTTTAATTATATCGATGAGATTAAAATACAGAGTACCCAGAGGGGCAACAGTAGCTCAGTTGGTAGAGCATTGGCCTTTGGGCCTGAAGGTCGTGGGTGCAAGCCCACCATAAGACCTACTTCACGACTCCCACTGATGACTGCTGTCGTTGTGTCCTTGGGAAAGACACTTAACCCCACTTTGCCTGAAGCCCCTGCTGAAAGATCTCAGCTCCTGTGGACTCACCACCTGCAGGAGGATCAGTGAGGGGCTGGTGCTAAGTGGACTGGGTGCAGCTCTGACTGCCACCCCCCCAACCCATAAATGGATAGATTATATTAATTATATTGATGTATTTTGAGCCTCTGTTTGATTTGTGCAATCTGAGTGCTCTTCTTGCCTTCTTTCTCTGCTGTAATCTTCGCAATGATGATCCTGAAATTTCAAATGACAAATAAAGGAATATCTTATCTGATGTGTGTTGGTGAATCTACAACTTTGTAAAGTCATCCGAGATAACCACTGAACATTG